AAATGTATTTGTGACAATGAAACACATCCCCTTACAACGCTATGGAAAAATACATCCAAAAATAAATAATTACAACCCAAAAGAATCCTAATACATTGGTTTTAACAAAAAAAATAAAAATAAATAAATAAATAACTTGTGGATGCCACTTCACCAATACATTTGCAAGGCCTATCTCTTACAACACAAAATAAATAAATAAACATATGCACGAAAATTACCAACTTTACCGCCATCCATCCAAACATACATCAATAATTAAATGGAGTAATAAATAAATGGCCAAAGGATGGAAAGCAAACTACAAATCTTACTATGGAATAGAGTATAGTCATGAAGATTTAGGACTCAAAAATATATACTAGTTCTCAACTAATATATATTAAATAATTAATAAATCAACTCCACAATCAAATAACACAAAATAAGTACTAACAATATTAAAAATAGTTAATTAATTATGCACAATAATTAATAAATTAGAAAAATAACTCTCCAAAATTTTCTTAATATTTTGCTAATTTCATAATTAAAAGCTAAATAAATATTTGAGAATATTCAAAGATAATTCCAAAAATTAATAAGTATGAAAATAATAGGCTAAACCGATTACTAAAAAAATAAAATAAAATAGCATAGGTTACGAGGAATGCCCATGCACCGCGCATGTAGTACACGCACCTTGGGAAGCATGTTCATGCGCCTGCACACTCTGTGGATACTGCATTGCGCGTGTGGTTGTCTTGTGTGTTGATGACATCAACCACACACAGTGCACTAACGTCATCCAAGCTAACCCAAGTTGCGTTGCTGTGCCATCAAGCCGTTCCACTGACAAGCCTGAGCCACCATGCTCTGCTGCTGTCACACTGACGTTAGCCTCCGACTTCCCAAAATCTCTTTTTCCTAGAATTTCTTAAAACTATGATTTTAATCTAAAAAAAACTTTGAAAAAACATAACCTTTTCAATTTAACTCCGATTAAAACCCATATTATAGGGATGGAAAAGCTTACGAAAAGTATTTTCAAAATATATAAATTTTAGTTACAAAAAATGAAAACTTTTCATACTTTTTTTTTTCTTGGATAAAAAATTTGCTCTAATAGAGTTCTTCAAAACTAGGGTTTTTAGAATTCTTTTGAACATGCCATGATATTCAACAATATTCAAATAGATAATATTCAGATTAACATGAATAAATCTAATCTATAACATGCAAATCATGAGGCGAAAACAAGCAATCAAAGCTCTCATACTAATAAAGGAAAATATAAGGGTAACGGTTTAGATTCAAATACTTGAATTACGAGCCTTATCTGTAAAATTCTTCGTCAATTGAGAAGCTACCAGAGTTTCTCAATGTTATATCCACACTCCAAATTCCTAGGTTCAATTATAGTGACCTAGGAGGGAAAAACAGAGAGAGAAAATATACTACAGAGAAATATCGAGTAAAATTACCATTCTCAATCATACGTATTCTCCATTAGAGATATATAAAATATCTATGTAGATAGAAGTGGAGTTGTAGACTCCCACAACAACTCATACACTTCATTAGATAATTCATTTACTTATCTTATTACTTTAATATGTGAATTATATACAACTCATAGACGTTCCATAGATAATGGGTCGGGTCAAATCTGACCCAATTTCCAACAGTCTCAAAGATATATGATCATTGTATTAATAATCAATTGCAAATTATAATATAGTAAACAAAGTAACTTGGCTAGGGCTTCATCTGCACTTTATAGAAGAAGATTAGTTGCTGATGGAGCAGTTGAAGAAAGCTATCGATGTGGAGAACTATATCTTTAGAATCTTGGGCTTTCTCTCTTTTACCTCTTGTGTCGTCTGTTGATATGTGAAGAACCCATTTTATGAAGGCAAGATCATCCTTTTATACTCTCATAACCATTAGGGTTGGAATGGGCTAAAAAAGAACATAAAAATTTACTTTTAAACCTGCACAACATGCATTCATTAAAATCCTTAAATAAAAATTGATATAAACTTAACTAGTACAGTTTAAGGGGCCTTAATGTATATTTCGACACCTATCACACTCCCAATTTAGACTTTGCTAGTACTCAAGCCAAAAAGTAAATAAATAAATAAAAATACAAAAAATCAATAAAATATATCTAATCCAATTTTGTAGAGATCACGATTGCATTTAGCGCATGTAACAAGTATTTTAAACCACAAGGTTACCTAAGTAGACCAGTGAAGTCTCACGAGGGTTTGTAGTGAATCTACCCACAAAATTTAGGCACTTTATAGTTACTTCACAAAAGATAAAGTACCTCACATCAACTTTCGAATTCAAACAGATACCCTGTCAAGCAGTCTACATAGAATATCAAACAGTACTCACAATTATCAGTGGTGGACTACTTTAACCAATCAAACACTGAACTTTGAAGCAATGTTGCTCAAGTCAATTTACTTGTATTTAGGAAAAAAATCATCACATGCTCCCTTAGCGTAAAATGAATATTCACATAGAAATACAAACCCCCAACTTAATCATTAATACACATATCACCAATACGTCACAATTTATTAGATATCTCATAGAACAATGCAACTAATGACTTGACTTTAATGCAATTTTTTTTCCAGTGACTCTGCAATGTCTAAGTCTCTAAAACTTTCTAATTAATTCATGTACAAAGTATTAAGCCAATGACTCCCAAACCAAATGACTTTAAGGTACTAGGTATAGAAACACCCCCAACAAGCTTAATAACTTGGATTAAAAAGGCTATGTGGGCACGAGGTTTTTTAGGCCGCCATTTCTATAAAAGAGGGACCAACAACGGCGTCCCAGAGGAAACTGGAGGTCCAAGAGAGACTGATTGATTTTAGGAGTCGTCACTCGGTTATAGGTCCCGGGAAACCATATGTGTGAGCCTCTAAGGATAGGCACTAGTCCCTCAACTATAGGTATAAGTTTGGGTGAAACTTTGTAAATCCTTATTTGAGTCTTGTAATTGTTTGATTTAATAATCTAGTGAATATTGGTTTAATTGTTTGATTTAATAATCTAGTGAATATTGTTGTTGGGATCATGGTTTTCATCTTATTTGATATTTGTCTCATAAGGTTTTATGTAAATCATGTGTCTCTCATCTTGCTTAATTGTTTTCAATTGTTCTTTCATGTTTGGAATTGGCTAATTGCTGTTGATTGTCGTTGAGTCTATGATCCTCATGAATTGATGTATTCAGACTCCTAGGATCAATTAGGTGTTGTATTGAGAATTTTTAATTTTAATACAGTATAATATGATATTTTGTACTAAATTTTATATAAAATAATGTGATATATTGTAATATTTTCAATGCAAACTAAATATTCACCATTTTGCCTCATAGTTTTCAAAATGTTGCTTTTGGCTAAATAGGTTTTAATTTTTTTTTATTATTATTTGTATAAAAGCCCTTTTTGGGATTATTTTTCCTGATAAAATGCATTTATAATATCTGAAATTTGTGTTATGTGCAACTTTGGTTATTTATATTTATTTTTGAAATTTTCAGTTTAAGTTAAATTAATCAAATTTAAATAGACCTAACCCTTTCCTTCCCATTTAAAGGGTAACAAATCATTCGATAGATCTCATTTAAAAGAAAAACTAAGGGACACAACTTAACCCCTTTTCTTTCATGGAAAAAAAAAATTCTTAAAAAAATATTTTTATTTGCATAGTTTTTTGAAATTAATAAATCTTACAATTTTTATTTATTTATTTGTTGATGTGGCACACAACCCAGCATATCATTAAAGTGAGTCCTATTTTATTTTTTATAGTTTTATTATAACACATCAATTAAATAGAAATTATAATACTGTCGTTTAGTGCCTCCCCTTCGTCACCTTTTAGGGAGTAGGCTAAGTATTTATATTGTATTTCAAATTTAAATTTAAATTCAAATAAATAAATAAATAAAAACAACAACAACAACAAAAGCTGGCCTTGATTATAAAAATCAACCAATTTTCTCGAATTTCATTTGTGTTGGAGGTATTAAAATACATTTGAGATCAATTTATTATGTACATAAATTAATTTTAAATATATTTTAAAATTTGTTAAATATTCAAATAAACTTAAATAATTTACTACTCGACTTGATTTGGTTATAAGCACTATAAAAAACTAAATTACTCATGATTGAGTCAGTTAAATCTCATTTGAAATTGACTTGAAAAGTAAATAAATTAAGTTTTTAGCTCATTCTGTTAATTTTCAAACCAAACTTAAATATCTATTACTGGACACAATTAGACACATATCTTTTTTTGCTCTAATCATAAAAGTGTGATAATGATTCAATTGGTGTATTGTAAGGTCCTCATATAAAACAATTACGGACAACAAATTAATTTTTTTGATAAAATTTTGGATAAATATTTTGAGTATACTCACTCCAAAATATATATATATATATATATCAAGCAAAGTAAAGGGAAATTTACAAGGGTATGTTTGGCAATAAGTTAAATTAGCTATAAAGTCAAATAAATCAATAAAAAAGTCAAAAGACTAAAATGTTATAAAAAAAATTAAAAAATCCTTCTTATTGTCTCTACTTTTGCACATATTTTTATAAAAAGTTAAAAAAAATCATCCTCAGACACATCAATTTTTTACCTTATACTTTAATCAAAAAATTAAAAAAGTACTAAAAAAATCATTTCTCAAAGTAATTCATAGGGTGGGGGCTCAACTTTTTGTGTGAGTTTATTCTTGCATAGAGAAAATTGCACCCCACGTTTATCTAATTAATTTTTGTTTATTACACTAAATTATAATTATCTTTAAATGAATTTGGACTATGCATGGATATTTTTAAATAAAATTGTCAATAAATAAATTATGTGAATACATAGAGTTAATGTTGTTGTTGTGGAGGTCTAACTTCACAAGTCAAGGCCAACTGTTCTGTCGCGCGAGGCCTCAACAACCTTCCTCTATATCGCTTTTAGCTCGTCAAAGCCCTCATGGAAGGGTAGGTCTGAATGACAGCTCAAGATTGGTTTCCAACAAAGCTCAACCCAAATGCCTCTCTCTCTCTCCAAGTTCTCATCTTCAACAATCTCTGTGTGTCATTCCTCACCAAAGCCACCATGGTACGTTACGTTTTCTTAATACTGCCTCAAACTCATATTTTGCCCAGGTGACTTACATTAATTTCATCAAGTTAATGTGTACTAGTAAATGTTTATTGCAGTCTCTTACAACCTTGATGTTTAGGTCACTGGTGAGGCTATTGATATCTTTGGTGGGTGAACCAGTGGCCTCAATCTCAACCTTACTCTACTACAGTGATCTTCTCCCTCAAAACATCATTTTGCAGAGAATGGTTCGACACGAATTGCTTGATCAAGAGAACTACTTGTTCCATTTTCTCATCAATTTCTTGAGATGTTTTTGGTAGATACAGATACAGTCCCACAAGATACCATTCAGAATGAATCTGAGCCGCACATTGATTTTTTTAGGTGCGTGTAGGTATAATTGTTGATCAATTATAGCCATCGCATGTGAGTCATAATGCAATGAAGTGGATCGTCGTGATTCAATATTTTTTTTTAGCATGAATTATAGGTGAACCGGCTTGTTTATGAAATTATAACCATTGATTCTCAATAAGTTTTGTTTTGTTTTGTTTCGTTTGGTTTTTCCAAACATCTGATATATTCTTAGCATGTGCAACTTAACTTATGTCTTATTAAGGGAATTAGATGTATTAATTGACTGGTGGAATGAAATTGAAATTTCAGTCAAATTTTGAAGGGAGATGTGTTATAATCCTGTTTATTTTGCATTGTGGTAAGTAGTATTTGTTCTATCTATGCATAATGTGCAGCCTGACATTACATTGAGATTCGGATCAAACTAAAAAAATCACGTTCACCTTATTTGATTTATTCCTCCTTTCTCAAAATTTAATTTTTTTTTGTTTTTGCGTATTTTTTTTCTTTATACTGAATTATTTTTATATTTTAAATAGTTTTTTTAATTTTTAGATACTCCTAATATAAATACACTTAAAAAATATAATATTTGTGAAAAAAAATCTTTAGAAAATTCATTAAATACCAAAAATATTTGTCTTTAGTATTTTTTTTTTGGGTAAATTTTTTTTTCTTTTTTGGGTAAAAAAATTTACTTGTTAACTCTATTAGTATAAAAGGATCTCTAAAATAAAATAAAATAATAAAACAATTAAAAAAGGATTCGCTAAAACACAAATCCAAAAAAAGTCAATTTTTGTTTTTGGATTTTTTTTTTTTGGTCATTAATTTACTTTTTCCAATTTTTTATTTTTCTGGTCCATATAGTCGAGTAGAACCTAAAAATATAATCTTTTTTGAATTTATTTATAATTTTTTTTTTTCTAAAGATGAAAGAAGTTAACAAAAATAAAATCACAAAAAAAAATAATTTTAAACAGTAAACTTTTTTTTTGGGGTTAAATTACACTTTTCGCCCTATAATTTTTAATGAAATTTTAGTTTGACTTCTCATCTTCTAATTGTAACAATTAAATCCTCAGACTTCAATCTGTGTTTTAATATGATCCTCCAGTCGCCTTACCATTTGAAATTTGAGTGATATAGTTAAAACACAATGGACCAAAGTGAATTTTGATGAGTGAAAGTGTAATATGTCATACAAATTTTTTGTTGGGCAAATTATATAAATAGTCCATATAGTTTGGGGTTTGTGTCACTTTGGTCTCTGACTTTTCAATCGTGACATATTTGATCCTAAATTTTGAATCTTGTTCCAAATAAACACAATTGAATATATAATTAGAATTTTCAAGGGTAAAATTGTCAATTTGATAAAATATAAACTAATTTGATAAAAATAAATGTCAAACAAATATTTTTGAATTTTTAAAAATTATTTCTACCTACTAAAAATAAAATTATGTAAAATTGATAAATCTTTTAGACATTTATTTATTTTTTTTACCAAATTAAATTTTATTATGCGTTTGGATGATGATCATGTAAAATTATTTTTAAAAAATTAATCATGTAATTTTTATTAATTTTACATAATTTTATTATTGGTGGATAAAAATAATTTTAAAAATATTAAAAATATTTTTTTGAGATTTATTTTTGTCAAATTAATTTATATTTTATCAAATTGACGATTTTACCCTTGAAAAAACTAATAATATTTTCAATTGTTCTTATTTGGAACAAGATTCAAAATTCAACGTCAAATGTGTCACAATTGAAAAGTCAGAGACCAAAATGATACAAATCCCAAACTATAGGGACTATCAGTGTAATTAACCCTTTTTTGTTTTAATTCCCTTAGTATATGCTCACGTGTGCATTTTTCATCCAAAATTTTAAGGATAAATGATGAAAGTACAAACCACTTTAAAACACGAATTTAAATCCGAGAATTTAATTGTTGTAATGAGAAGATGACCAACCAAGGTGAAATTCAAATAAAATTTTCAGAGTGTATACCCTTTATAAAACTCCTTTAAATTTATAAATCAAATCAAATCTTAAGTCCCATCAAATAAAATCAATTACATAAATCTTTTTTCTTCACTTAATTCTATCAACAATTATTTAATTAATCAAATTAAAAAAATTCATACCACCATTTACTCATCATAAACCTGTAGAATTTTTGCTTTCCATTATTCATATCATTAATCATTTTGGAGAAATCTAAAAAGATAAGCATTATACACGCATATTTATGCACCTACATTGTGTATGTTGTATTTCCACTTCCAAGGAAAAAAGTGTTGTGCTTTCCATTTTTTTTTTCTTTTCTTTCAAGATGTATGCTTCTTTTTTATTAATAAAGTTCTTTCATTCCCCCCAACCCCCCAAAAAAATAATAATAAAAATATTTTCCCTAACAACACACCCAAAAAAAAATAATAATAAAAATAAAAAATATATCTATATATCATCTTACAAGCATGTGTATATGTGTGTATCTCTATGTTTATCTCATTGAATTGGATCACATGGAATTATCAATTTGTAGGTTATATCATATTTCATGTATTAGATGTCCCTAAATTAGGAGAGTAGCTCTATAATTTAATAACTCCACCAACGTAGTGTGCTCCAATGGCATTTTATGACAGCTGCTATAATTGAGAAATGGCAAAGCTTGTATCAAATTTGACACAAGCTTTGGCAACTGCTATTTGTGTCCATGAAGGACAGCAAAACAACTATTTCCCTCTCTCCCTCCAGTTTTTGTTCATCTTCAGACAATCAGCCGGATGTCCGACCGGACGTTTTGTGGACCAATTTCTGCATTTCTTTCTTTGTGCATTTGCTAAAATCGTCTGAGAAAATGAACAAAACTAAGCTACATTTTTCTATAATTTGGCAAATGGCCGTTGGAAGACTATTGCTATTGTGTGTGCCAATTTCCGACCACACTGCTAACCTAGTACTTAGCTGGTGAACACTGGTAGAATAGATTGTGCCCGAACGACCTGTAACAGAAAGAAGAGACTCCGGCGGTGGTTCGTCCACCCGGGGGCACTCCGACAATCAAATCAGTTATCTCTCAAAGATAGCAAAAGTGCTTAACTCACAATTCAGAGTATAAAAAGCGTACCTTAGACCCACGAGGGTGCCTCTCTTTTATAGCCAACACTGACCTAATCCCAATAGAAGCCTAGCTCTAATGGATTCTGTCTCAATGTTAATCTTGGACTCCCAGTTAGATTGGGATAAACTCTCTAAAAGTCTTATCTTTATCCAGACTGAAGTCCTCTCCAATTCTAGGGCTCTTGTCCCTTATCCGCTTATCCCGAATTTCGGTATTCTCGCAGATAACCTCGGCCTTGCAGAGATTACCTCGGCATCATGACCAGCACATGTGGTACCTCGGCTGACACTTAAGTTCCACCTCGGCCACGTGTTATCATTCAAAAATTATGTCCCCACAACTGCCCCCTAGGTTCTATTACCTCGACATCCTGAAGTGATGGAACCTATATCATTCATTCCATTTAGCATATCGGCTAAACTCGCTTTATCCTTCATTACCGAGGTCATCTTTTGTTGGCTCCGTATGGCCAAGACCTGTAATCTGTTTTCATCAATGCCTTAGAACAAATAACCAAGTCGGTTCAAATTATTTAGCTGAAATCATCCTCCTAGCCGAGGTCTTTGCTTCACTAAACCAAGAACTTCAAGAGTTTCAACACGCGAGTGAGCTGTCACTCACAACATTTCAACTGTTTCTGCCACGTGTCTTTCCTCTACTGAGCCGTACCTGACATGCGCCATGAAGTCTTGTCACTCGTGCGTGCGCCGTCTGACAAACACGTCGTTTTAGGCGCACTAATTACCATTTTGCCGCCATTCCACGTTTCAACAAAATTACTTCCCTCTCTCTCTGTCTTTTCACTTCATACCACCGTTTTCTCTCTGTGTTTCAAGCTTTCTCTCTCTAAAAATCGCCATTTCCGTTCTCTTAAAGTTTTTCAAGCTCTGCACCTAGCTCTATTCACCTCCTCCGGCAAGGTCTTCATCGTTCCGTCACTTTTGCTATCGTCGTCTGGCTTCGGTAAAATCCACATCGGCCCCACATTCTCTGGTAAGCCACTATTCCTCCTGGTTTCAGTTCTTGGTTCACTTCAAACTCTGTTACATTTGTATTCTGTTAGTATGACTTCGTTCATGTTTTTTATTACAAATTTGTGTTTATGAACTCAATCATGCATTAGGGCATGTTTATCTTATGACTTTGCTATTGCCCAATCCATTCTTGAGTATACACATGTTGCTCACACTCTTGTTCATTTTGCCACTGTTTTTGGCCTCGTACCATTGTACACTATGTCATAGTGTTCTTGGTAGTTCATTAATTTTCTTGATTCTGAATCATTGTTCTTGTTTTTGTTTTCTATGTCTGTTTTCTAGATTCTTGTCTTCAATCCTTGTTTACATAGACTTAGGTTTGAGATTTGTTATAGAACTCACGAATTTTAGAAAAAATTGAAACGAATTCCCCTTAGATCTTTCAGAAAAATTTGCCCCAACATACTTGCAGTTTTTAGCCAAGGTCCCTCAAACCCCTACAAAACACTTCCTTTTGAAATCCAACACCTTCCCCCAAGCCGACGTAATGGATATGTGGAGGTATAGGGTAGACACCCCAACTAAGTTAGAATATTCCAGGCAAGAGTTTTCCATCCCGGCCGACGTCCATCTAAGGTTGGCAGGGGAGGAAGACTCCATCATGCCTAACGAGAACTTCATGCCCTTCCCTGTCGTAGCCTTCACAGAATGTGGACTCAGGTTTCCACTTGACATCCTTTTCCGAGAAGTCCTCCATTACTATAAATTGAACCCAATGCAGCTTGCTATTAACTCTTATCGAGTTATCAATGGCATAGCTAAAAAATAGAACGCTAGGGTTACTTTTGCCGACATCCAGTACTGCTACACCATGTGTGGCCTTAAGTCAGAAAAAAGCTACATCTACTATCTTAAGCCGAGGTCGACCCAATACAAACTCATCGCCGACCTCCCTAATTCCAACAAGGGTGTTGAGGACGATTATTTCATCGTCTCGGGCAACTGGGAATTCTCACCAGATGAGGACCTCTGTCTCTATCCCTTGAGCCGATCAGTTTTTAAAGAGGGTAATAGTAAGAGCCAAGAGTCACCTTACTTGCTCTCAAGTCTTTAACACTTTGTTCCTTCTATATATGCGCTAACGTCTGTTTTTTCTTGCAGCTCTCCCTCAACCACCAAAGGATTTTCGAAAGTCCTTC